CCGCGGGAGCGCGGGGCGGGCCAGGCCGGCTTCCTGCCCGGGTCTGCGGGCGTGCCCCGGGAAGGCCCTGGCGCGGGCGAGGAGGGCAAGCTGCGCACGCTCACCACGCTCCTGGAGAAGGTGGAGGGCTGCAGGGACCTACTGGAGACGCCGGGCCAATACCTGGTGTACAACGGGGACCTGGTGGAGTACGAGGCGGACCACATGACCCAGCTGCAGCGCGTGCACGGCTTCCTCATGAACGACTGTCTGCTGGTGGCCACCTGGCTGCAGCACAGGCGAGGCATGTACCGCTACAACGCGCTCTACCCGCTGGACCGCCTGGCGGTGGTCAATGTCAAGGACAACCCGCCCATGAAGGACATGTTCAAGCTGCTCATGTTCCCCGAGAGCCGCATCTTTCAGGCGGAAAATGCCAAGATTAAACGGGAGTGGCTGGAAGTGCTGGAGGAAACTAAGAGGGCGCTGAGCGACAAGAGGAGGAGGGAGCAGGAGGAGGCGGCGGCCCCGCGAGCGCCGCCGCCCGTCTCTTCCAAGGGCAGAAACCCATTCGAGGATGACGACGAAGACCTGGCGGTTCCCGATGTGGAAGAAGAGAAGGTGGACCTCTCAATGGAGTGGATCCAGGAGTTGCCTGAGGACCTGGATGTCTGTATTGCGCAGAGGGACTTCGAGGGCGCGGTTGACTTGCTGGACAAACTGAATCACTACCTGGAAGATAAGCCCAGCCCGCCCCCAGTGAAAGAGCTCCGGGCCAAAGTGGACGAGCGCGTGCGACAGCTCACCGATGTGCTGGTGTTCGAGCTCTCCCCGGATCGGTCACTGAGAGGCGGCCCGAAGGCCACTCGCAGGGCAGTCTCTCAGCTGATCCGGCTGGGCCAGTGCACGAAGGCTTGCGAGCTGTTCCTGAGGAACCGGGCAGCGGCGGTGCACACAGCCATCCGCCAGCTTCGCATCGAGGGCGCCACTCTGCTCTACATTCACAAGCTGTGCCATGTCTTCTTTACCAGCCTTCTGGAGACCGCAAGGGAGTTTGAGACGGACTTCGCGGGCACTGACAGCGGCTGCTACTCTGCCTTTGTGGTCTGGGCGAGGTCTGCGATGGGCATGTTCGTGGATGCTTTCAGCAAGCAGGTGTTTGACAGTAAGGAGAGCCTGTCAACCGCGGCGGAGTGTGTGAAGGTGGCCAAAGAGCACTGTCAGCAGCTGGGAGAGATTGGGCTGGACCTCACCTTCATCGTCCACGCCCTGCTGGTGAAGGACATCCAGGGGGCTTTGCACAGTTACAAGGAGATAATCATTGAAGCCACCAAACACCGCAACTCAGAGGAGATGTGGCGGCGGATGAACCTGATGACCCCAGAGGCCCTGGGCAAGCTCAAAGAGGAGATGAGAAGTTGTGGGGTCAGTAACTTTGAGCAGTACACGGGAGATGACTGCTGGGTGAACTTGAGCTACACGGTGGTGGCCTTCACCAAGCAGACCATGAGCTTCCTGGAGGAGGCGCTGAAGCTGTACTTCCCAGAGCTGCACATGGTGCTCCTGGAGAGCCTGGTGGAAGTCATCCTGGTAGCCGTGCAGCATGTGGACTACAGCCTACGGTGCGAGCAGGACCCCGAGAAGAAGGCGTTCATCAGACAGAACGCATCCTTCCTCTATGAAACTGTTCTCCCTGTGGTGGAGAGGAGGTTTGAGGAAGGTGTGGGGAAGCCAGCCAAGCAGCTCCAGGACCTGCGGAACGCATCCAGACTGCTGCGTGTGAATCCTGAGAGCACCACCTCTGTGGTCTGAGCCCTGATCTCGCATGTGTGTGTATACATGTACATGTACTGCCAACGCATTATTTATATTGCATTCATCAATACACCCCTTGTAGTGGCAAACAGCATTGAAAGATAAAGTGCCCTCTTAGAAATGTAGTCAAGAGAAAAAAAGGTGTTATGCTCAAGTGAGAAGTATTGGAATCATTAAAACATATACTGTACTTTCCCTTTAAATTATATTCTTTGAAGATTGTATAGTTGCCATGAGTAGTATGTTATGAGTGAAAACACAATTCTCACAATAGGATGGTCAGGGGCCTTGCACAGCTCTGCAGCCACAAGGCACTTGGAAGTCACAGAACTTAAGTATTTGGTAAAGTTTCCCAGTTCTCCACAATGGTAATTCTTATTGTAAAACACCTGCTTGGTGTACTTCCCTTCCTTAAACTATTTATCAAACAATTTGGAGAAAAATGAGTTGGGAAAATTGGTTTGGGGTAAATTTTATTTTATTACTATTATTAGTTGGTATTTTTGAGACAGGGTCTTCCTGTAGCCCAAGCTGACCTGGAATTCAGTATGTAGACCAGGCTGGCCTTGAATTCACAGAGATCCACCTGCCTCTGCTTCTCAAGTGCTGGGACTAAAGACGTGTACCACCACACCCAGCTCCAGTTTGGGATAAATTTCAGCTAAAAGAATTCTTTCTTGAAATGAGCTAGTGTGGGGCTAGAGAGATGGCTCAGCGGTTAAGAACAGTGGCTGTTCTTGCAGGAGACCTGGGTTTGATTCCTAGCACCCACATGGTGCCTAACAACCATCCATGGAATTCAACACTCTCTTCTGACTGAGGGCATTGCACAACACAAGTGCACTTATATACAGGAAATACACTCATACACAGGAAATAAAAATAAATTTTAAAAAATGAGCTAGTGTGTGGGCGCTCACAATAGAAGCCATCATAAAAACTCTGCAAACATTCCCAGTGTAATTTAAAAGGGTATAGTGTACAGTTGCTAATTAACAGTTGACATGATATTTAATTTGGAAGCATCTATTTGGAAATTCTAAGCACCATGACGATTTGTTTGAGACAGGGTCGCCCTGTAGCCCCAGCTCACCTGGAACTGCTGGCCTCGGACTCACAGATACCTGCTTGCCTCTGCCTCCAGAGTTCTGGGATTAAAGGCGTGCACCACCATGCCCAACTTCCATGATGAAGTTTTAAAATGTATTCTTGAACTGTATGAATTTGCAGCTGGTGGTGTTGGTCTTTGCCATGTTCAATAAGTAAAAATCATGGCAGAAGTCCACACCAATAAGGCTGGCAGCGTGCCACGTCATCACCAGGCTGGGGTAGGAGCCACCCTGACTGCAGTCAAATGCAAAGCGCTTTCCTTGAATAATTACCGAGATTTCAAGGTCTTGCAAACCTCACTGCTTAAGAATGCCTGCTTTGAGCAGAGATTTGTTTCTAGTTTTTGGTGGGGTTTTGTGTGTGTGTGTGTGTATTTTTTTGTTTTGTTTTTGAGACAAGGTCTCATTGTAGCCCATGCTAGCCTGGTATTGGCTTTGTAGCCAAAATGACCTTGAATTTTTGATCCTCCTGCCTCTACCTTGCAAGGGCTGGAATTACAGTGTGTGCCATCAAGTGTGATTTAGGTTGTGTTGGGGAGTGAGTGGACCCAGGGCTTTGTGCATGCTGGGCAAGCTGAGCCACATCCCGTTATTTTTGGTAATGAAGTGGCTCATAGGGAAGACATTCCCCGAGCACAGGGAAGCTTTGGTGACTCCTAGAATGTTGTACACTGCACTTTAAAACAACAGCCTTCTAAAAGGATTTCTGATTGATTGTTCAATTAAAAAAAACAGGAGCTCCCCTAGTTTCTAGACTGCTCTGCTCTGTAGGATTACCTAGCATTCCTCCATTAGAAAGTGTTTGCACCCGTCAGGGTGGTGTACGCTTTTAGTTCCAGCACTTGGGAGGAAGAGGCAGGCGGATCTCTAAGAGTTCAAGGCCAACCTGGTCTACTTAGTGAGTTCCAAGCCAGCTGGGGCTACAGGGAGACCCTGACTCAAAAAGATCCATGCTTTCCCCAGCTTCTGTGTTTTATGTCCATGAATTCTAAAGGTCATTTCTCTTGTCTGAATAAAAAGGGTGGGATTAAGACTGAAAACTAAAACCTTAAGTGGATTCTACAGTGACTGAAGGTTGTCAAACTTGTCAATTACTCAAATGTCTTCCCTTCTTTTTAACTGCGTATTTAGAAGGCTGGAAAGCATCACTGCAGATTTTTATTGACTATTTTTTCCCCATAGCATTAGATTTTTCTACATGACTATAACTGGAAGTCTCAGCTAAATAAATTTGTCTTCAGATCACTGGAAACTTGAATTTTACAGAATTGCCTAATTATTATTTGATGACATTTAGAGTTTAATATATTATATGAAATGTGCTGTGTAAATACAATGTTGGGTCTGTGTGTTGGTACTTTTGGAATGGAAAGCCCTTTTAGGATGTGGAGCTGTAAAAACTTAAATGTTTTATCACATAATAAATGGCTGCTCCTTTATTGAACTGCCTGTACAGAACTTTTCTTCTAAAAACCTATAAGCATCTTCCTCAGTCAGTTGTAGCTGAACAAAGTCCATGTGAGAAGCTGATGGATCCACCCAGGTTGTCAGTTTGCTGCCTCCTTCAAAGGGGGCCAAAGAGAATGTCCAAAAATGTCATACATAATGACATGCCTCACTTCAGCATTAATTACCTTTTCTTATTTGCTTCAAAACTGCACAAACTTGGAATCACAGACTCAATTAATTACTGTTGGGAATTCAGTCTGATGAATGTCTCATGGCACATGCTCAACATCATTTCTGTTCTGGGTGCTGCCTGTCATTTAATTACCAGTACAGTACCTGCGACCATAGTATATCAGCTAGGGCTGGAAACTGGGGAATATGAAAGCTGTATTGTACACTTCATGTGATATGAAATGAGGAAACCTGAAATCTTTAAAACTTCACTGTGTTCTCACACTGGATAAAATTGCTGCTATAACTGTTTATAATCAGTTTTATGTTCTTGATCCTAATTTTTATGTGAGGACAGCAAGCTCTTAGCTAATTTAAAGTATTTTGCTAATTGTCAGAATTGTGACTAATGAGGTCTCACATTTTAAAAACTACAACCACTTGTTAACTCCAGCTTCAGGGAATATGATGCCCCCTTCTGGACTCTGTGGTCACCTGTACTCCAGTGCACACACATACTCAATCTTTTTAAAAATTCCTGGGAAAGGGCTGGAGAGATGGCTCAGCAGTTTAAGATCATTACCTACTTTTCTAGAGGACCGGAGTTCAGTTCCCAGCACTCACATGATGGCTAACATGTAACTCCAGGTCCAGGGGAGCTGAACTCCATGGGCACTGCACACATGGGTACACACATGCAGGCAAAACTAATACACCTAAAATTCATTTCTGAAAAAGTTCCATATGTATGTAAGTAGATGTGTATATACCTTTGTTTATTAAGAATGTATATAATGCATTTATTTCTAAATGATTTTCTGCCAAACTAAACATTCTCAAAATGTTTAGGTAAACTGCCAAATCTGATCATCAGGAAGGTTGTATATTTGCCCTGCAATATAGGAAAATAACCTGTTTCCGCTGATGCTTATAATTCATTTTTCAGTAAGAGTAGCCTTATTAAGATAGATTCACTTTTGGGGGGGAAGGGGTTTGAGACAGGGTCTCACTATGTAGCCCTGGTTGGCCTGGAACTCGCTACGTAGATTAGGCTGGCCTCAGATTCACAATTATTCTCCTGCCTCTCCCTCCTGAGTGCTGGAATTAAAACCATGCCCCACCATGCCCAGCTATTCACTTAAAATTTTTACGTGAGTGTATGCCACATGTGTGGGTTCCCTCACAGGCCAGAAGGTGTCACATCCCCTGGACCTAGAGTTACAGGCAGTTCTGAGTTGCCCATTTAACTTGGGGCCAATGGATGAACAGCAAGGGCTCCTAATGCTGGGCCATCTCTCCAACCCCAGATTTGTTTTGGTTTTTCTTTGAAACAGGGTCTCCTTGGAACCCCAGCTGGCCTGCAACTCACTACATAGAGCAGGTTGGCCTTGATCCCAGAGATCCACCTGCCTCTGCCTCCCGAGTGTTGGGATTAAAGGCATATACCACCATGCTGGCAGATTTATTCACTTTTAACAAATGCGCCTCAGTTGGTAGCATTTGCTTTGCATGCACAAAGCCCTGGGATAAACTAGGCATGGTGGTACATGTCTGTAATCCTGCAGTCAGGTCATCCTCAGCTACAGTGAGTTCAAAGCTAGCACCTAACTGGTTACCAGCTCAGCTCAGGGCACAGTGGCACTGAGGTGTGGGCAAGCAGTTCCTATCATGACTGGCTGATGAAGCTGAGCTGTCCACCAAAGCCTATGGCCAGGAACACTGCTCACCTCAACATGCAGGAGTCCCTCTGGCTTCCTAAAGCAGCCAAGTGCCACCAGAGAGAGCCTGTCTCTAACACATGGCTCAGTGCAGCCAGCAGCTGTCCCAGCCTGGGAACAGATGCACAACCCAGGAAATCTGGACAGTCTTGAACCACCCTGATCTTTTCAGTGATCTTCCTGGGTTCTTGGATTCAATAAGCTGTTCCTGCTGCTGCTGATTGAACTGTACCAGATTTGTATGCTGAAGCCCTGTATTTGGAGGTGGCCCTTGGGAAATGAAGGTTAGATGTGGTCATCACAGTGGGGTCCCCATAATAGGACCCATGATGATCACTGGGGTGTATTTTAGACAGTCCCTGAGCTCACAATGGTCCTGTCATGAGCACACATGGAGAGATGGCAACCCTGTCCAAGCCCAGGATAAACCTATTTTGCAAGCACCTTGACCTTGGACTTGAGCTTTCAGAACTAATGGCTGTGTCTACACTGAATATGTATGGCCTTCTATGTCAGCTCCAAGGACCTACCCAAGGTCACAACTCTGCACAGGCCACTAGTCTTCCTCTATTGCCCAGTCCCATTCTACTGATCTGGGTCCAGTGATGCTGGGGCCATATGTCACTCAGAGTGACCAACTTCCAACGTCACAGGGCTCTCCCATCCTAGTTCAAACTCATCATCCCACCACATACATACACAGCATGTCATGTAAGCCTCCCTTTGTTGCATATACTTTGACTAGTTCAATTTTTTTACTAAGACCATTGGGTGTGAAATTTAAAGTAAACTAAGTAATTTATTACATACTTCTCTCAACTCTGTACTTGTTTGAAGCAACTTTAATTAAAGTAAGAATGTAAGATACAGGTTGAGTGTCCCTTATCTAAAATGTTTGGGAATGAAGTGTTTCAGATTTGGGTTGTTTTTTGGTTTGGAAGAGCAGTATGGCTATTTAGGTTTTGGAAGATCTGCTTATCCAAAGCAAGATGACTGAAATCTCACTGAATCACAGCATGAACTTTTGTTTTACACACATAACACACACAGCCTGCAGGTAACTACAGTAATGTTAGAGCAACCAGACTTTAAGTGGGACCCTCATGGAGGTCAGAAGAGAACCCTCCATGGTGATGCTCCCAACTTCAGGCTGTGGGTTGGGAACACTCACTGACTGTTTTTCTGCATTGAGCAGTCAGTGCTGATGCCAGATTATAATCAGCAGTCAGCCTGATAGTCAAGCATGTGCGGGAAGCTATGAGTGGGAGTGAATGGGTCTGAGCTCCACTTTTCCAGGCATGTTTTCAAAACACTCTTTTATTTTAGAACACACAGGTTGGCACGGGCACCACTAACTGGTGGGAAGATCACACTGATGTGCTCACTGGTCATTTCCTCCTCTTGGCAGAAGCACGGATCCCAGGGCCTCTCGGAGCACCAGAAGACACATCTCCCTCTTGACATCCCTGTCTGAGATAGTTAAGTCCTTTGTGGCTATGACTGTGGAATGTTTTCCACAATCTCTTGGTGACTCTTACAGCTTCGCAGTGGCTGGTTTTCCTATTGGTGTCTTACAACCTAAGACAGAGAGAGACAGATCCTGAGATGATGGGAGTCTTGCCCTTGCTCACTGCCATGGCTCTGCATCGGACTGATCCCTCCTCTGACCACTTGGCCAATACCCATGGACTCTGTTGGCCCTCACAAGGCCATACACTGCCTTTCTAGATGCTACTGTCTTTCTGAGCCAACAGGATCCCGAGTGTCCTTGGCCCTGATTCTATATTGGAAAGTCTGTGATAAGGACTCTGACACAAGCCCTCACCCAGGGAAAGGATCCAAGGCCTGGGAGGAAGAGTAAGAATCAGGGCTGCTGCGTGTGGTGGCACCTGCCTACAATCCCAGCACTTGGGAGGCTGAGGCAGGAAAACTGCTATGAGTTTGAGGCCAGCCTGGGCTACAGAGTGAGAACAGTGAACACCAGGCCAAATTAGCCTGGGCTATAGTATGAGACCGTTTCAAAAAGCAAAACAAAACATCAGAGCCAGAACAGAGGACCCCCACAACTTACCACAGAGGATCTGGAGAGCTGGGATAGACCAGGCCCACCAGGAACTGACTCCCCACTGTACAGCACAGCCCATGTTATGCCTCCCATGTTTCCTTGTAATTCTCTTTGCTGTACTTTTTTCTTTAAGCTTTTTTTTTTTGGTTGTGTTTAATTTTAAATATGTATATCATACATTCTGATTATTCTCATAACCACCTTTTTTTATCTCCCTCCTGTTCCCACGATTCCTTCTCCTCTCTTTTTTTTTGAGACAGGGTCTCACTATTGTAGCACTGACTGGCCTAGAATTCACTATGTAAACCAGGGTGGCCTCAAACTCACAAGAGATCCTCCTGCCTCTGCCTCCTACAGTACTGAGTACAGGGTCATACCCTGCCTTTTTCTGGTCTTTTAAGTTGGTTTTGCTGTATAGCCCCAGGCTAGCCTTGAACTCCTGGCAGTCTTCCTGCCTTATCTCCCAAGTGCTAGGATTGTACTTTCCCTTCAGAAAACTCTAATCTGTCCTCAGTTTGCTTATATTACAACTCTTCCTGGCCCTTTTGGCAAAGTACCTGATGCCACAGCATACTTTCTTACTTTAATACATACTTATAAAAATAAAGAGCAAAGTCATCTCTTGTTAACCTGTACTTACCAAGCATTTCTTCTAATTTGCTTGCAGCAGGTTTGTTTACACTAAACACATAGTTACTATTTCTGGAGAGAAGAGCAGGCTCTGTTACTGTATATACAAGGTGAAGATGCAAATTCACAACATTTCCCCTCTAACTGCAAGTTATCACCCAAGGCCTGTCTCACAAAGCCCATTTTTGTTGTTTTCTTCAGAGCTTGGGATCAAACCCATGTCCTCAAACAAGGACTCTACCACTGAGGCACAACAAAGCCCCAGTCTGAAGTAGCTGACAGGACATTGCTCCTGGTCCTGCCTCCTGGCTTCATGCTGCTTCTGACCATGTGAGACCCACAGTGGCACCTGTGATCCTTGAGGTGACCCATCCATCTCCTTCCAGTTTGGCTTCAGCTTTATCATTGGGATGCTCATTCAGTTAGGAGAATCCATTCTCTCTCATTCAGTTAGGAGAATCCATTCTCCCCTCCGCCCCGCGCCCCCCGCCCAATATACACACTTCTGTCCATACACACACACCTTCCTCCCAAAAATCTTTCTTGTAATTAGTCTATACAATTCAGTATGAGAATCCTGGCACTTGGGGAGGCAGAGACAGGTGGGTCTCTGTGAGTTCAAGGCCAGCCTGGTCTACATAGTGAGTTCCAGGCCAGCTGAGGCTACAGAGAGACCCTGTCTCAAAAAGACACACCACCCCCAGAAAAATCAATGTGAGGTTAAGCCAAATCTCTGGGCTATAGTATTTAATTCCATGAGGTGTGGGATCCTCAGGGAACTGACGCTGCTTTAATCCTGAGGGGCAGGGAAGGAAAGCAGAATGCTGCATTTCCTCAAGATACACTGCTAAGTGTCTCCGGGCCTTGGGCTCCAATGTCATACTTCATCTTGGCTCTGTCAGCACCAGTACTTACACCTTCTTCTTCTCTACCACCCCAAGTCTCACAAAAGCTGCTAAGGCATTTTTCTGCATGTCAGAAGACAGCACATCGTAACACTGAGAGGCACCTGCAAGGAGAAGGGGGTGGGTGATCACTCTTGTTCTAGGCTGAGAGAGACCACCCACAGGGGCAGGGGAGTAACCGACCTTGATCCAGAAGCCCAGTGGTGAACTGTCTAGCTGCAGCCAGGTACTGTTTCTCAGTGAAGTAGTCCTCCTCTTCACACAAGAGATATTTGGAAATGATCTGATTGTAACAGAGTAAGAGGAACACAGAGGAAAGGACAGCCCAACACAGCAGTGCCTGCTGCCCTCATCACTTTCCACCAAGGTTGGAGCAGAGAAGAGCTGGACTCTGAAGACGTTGATTTTGAACTTCTAGTAGTTTTTACAATTAGAAAGTTTGGAATATCAACATTTGTTAAAGTTTAATTTCTCATTTTAGCTGATTTCAAGTTAATCACTTCCACTTTCCTTTATCTTATGCTGCCTAGCAAGAGAATAACCACATTTCAACTGTCTTTCTCTCTGAATGCACCTAGCAAAGCACAGGCCCTCAAACACTGGCTGATTCCTACTTCAGAAAGGTGATTAAAAGCAGGATCAACATTTATCAAATGCCCACCTGGAGCTAGACTTTGTGGAAGGAGGTGACAGGTCACCTTAAGGATCACAGGTGTTACTGTGCCACGAAGTGGCTATACTCATAGCCAGTGTCCACACACAGAGCTGAGCATCAAATTCTTTTCCTCCAATCCTGCAGGGCACACATGCCAGCCCCTTCCTGTCTCATCCTGTGGATTCTGAGGAGCATATACAGCTGCTCTTTCTCTTGGAAGCATCATGAGCTTCAGTAACACAAAGGAGCATAGGAACCGTTCAAGTCTTGTGCTGAGTGCCCACTACATAGCAATACCTGACCACACAAAGCACATGGCAGACACACAGAGACCACAGAGCTGGGTATATTGTGGGCTCACAGAGTGCTGCCCTCAGCCTGTCTTCCTGTTTGTTCCTTAGTGGAAGGCTTGCTCACTGAACTCACCCATCAAGGCACTGTTCACCTGGGGAACATGCTCACCCTTCACACCAAAGTGTAAGAAGGGAAGTCTTATGACACAAGGGCATAGAGAACTTGCAACCTTCACATACCTGGTAAGATTCCACAAAAGGTTTAAAGAGTCCTACAAGGAATTCTAACACAGCATCCCCTTTGTCTGTGATGATGATGTCCTTCCCAGTCACCTGTATGGCCTCACTTTTACACAGCAGGTAACAGCCTTCCTCAAAGTCCTAGAAGGGGAAGGAGAGGTCACAGGCTCATGCTGATCTATGTGCCTTGAACTGTATGTCCTCACTGGTCCCACAAGCCCCAGAGCCTCCTGTTACCACAGCCATGAAGCATCTCTTTCAACACTCAAAATGCCAAAGCTCAAACACAAGCACACAGCGTTCATTAAATCAGTCAGGGTGACAGATGCTCTTCAATCAGCACAGCCATGTTCCTTAAATTTCAATAGCAAATCCTGAAAATACAAGTAGACTTAGGCTCAATCCCACCTGCCTCTAGCCCTCCTTTACTCCCAAGAACAGAGGAAAACTCCCTTTCCTTAGCACAGCACACAGAAACCTGCACCACCTCCTGCCTGCCCTGTTTCTGCCCATAGCAACAAACCCAAAGCCCACTCTGGGAGCCCAAGCACAGCTGTCCCACTGCTACCCAGGACCACCACCCACCCACTCTCAGAGCAAAAGGTGCTGCTGGGCCGACACCATCCAACAGGAAGGGTATTCTGCTTTCCAGTGCCTACTATGACAGAGTTCGTGTATAGCCACTGCACTGAGGTTCAGAGAATGACCTTCCTTTCCCTGTATCATCCTTAGGTACTGACTGAACATGAGCAGGAACCAAACTGGACTCTGCTCAGTTGAGTATCCCTGTTTCTCCCTGTGCTTTAAAGAAAGGGGAAACAGGCTGCCTGACACAGGCCTGGGGTCCTGACGAAGGCCTGGGGCCCACACTGGTCACCTCCAGGACGTGCATCATGACATGCTTGCTCTTGGGTGTAGGGACTTACCCTGAGTGTGTTTCCCGGAAGGAAGATGAACTCATCTGAAAACACATTGCGTAAGAAGGAAAAGCAGCTGAAGACATCCTCTGGAAAGAAGCCATTTCACAGCATTACAACCTTGCTTCTGACCTGCAGGAACCCCTGACTTGCAGCTCTTCACATGTCTCTCTGTGTACACCAGGGAAAGAACTGAGTCCCTAAGGGAAGCTGAAGCCAGTCTTAAGTTTTTCTGCAGTGCAAATGGAGTTTAGCAATTTAAGTGGCTAAGTTGAAACTATAAGAGGCCTGGAATCCACCAGTCTCAAAATAAGCAAGAGGCCACCGTCACTGTCCTTAGACACCCCTTAAGAGATAGACTTCCCTCTATTTTGACTTCCCAGCTTCCTTCTATTCTCAAATCTCACTTATGTTCCAACCCCCACCCTAAAAAACTGAAGGAGAACCTCTGGGGTAGGGCCCCATGATCCTCAGACAGACTTGGGTGGACCCAGATGTTAACTACAGGCTCCTGCCATCCAGAAGCAGGAATCTGTCATTTCAACACCACACTGACTGCATTTTAGGCAAGCTCTGGTAGTGATGCTGCCCAGCCTGCTTCTGTTGAATGAGGGGCCTCAAGCTGAAACTTCATCAGGCCAGTTCCTGGGCAGTGGCATTCACAATTGCCTCTCTAAAGCAATTATATTGTTAGCTAGTTAGTTTTCTATGTGCATGATGTGTTGGAATTCAGGTGCACACATATTTCACAAGCATGCATGTGGAGGTCAGAAGACAACTTTGGGGAGTTGTTTCTAGACTTCTGCCTTACTTGAGGCAGGGTCTCTCTTGTTTACCCACTAAGCTGCATACTCCAAGGATAGCTGGCACACGAGCTTAGGGCCAACTGTCTCTCAAGTCTCTGCCTCCATCCCACTTGGGAATGCTGGGGTTACATGTAGTCTTTACCACATTTGCCTTTTCACATGGGTTCTAGGAATCTGAACTCAAGTTGATCAGCCTTGAATGGCAAGAGCTTTTACTCACTGAGCCATCTCCCCAGACTGAAGGCGCAGTCTAGATAGGTATTTCCGATTCTGAAGTTTTCGTTTATTTTTTTAAGTTTATATATATATATAAGCTGTGTGTGTGTGTGTATTGCTATGTAGTCCAGGTTGGCCCTAAACTTCTAGAAGATTGCCCTGCCTCAAACCCCTGAGTAGCTGAAGCTATAGGCACATGCTATACCTTCCCACTCTAGAAACCTTAAGCAGGCAGGCTCTTCTACTATGGGAACAACTAACTTCTAAGACCCTGAACTTTACTGCCATGAGGGCTAACAGAGGAGGCTGCCTGTAACAGACGTCCAACACTGCTCCCTTCATGGGGCTACAGTGCCAGGCCCTTTCTGAAACTCAAGGTCATACTCCTAAAAGTTACCTTTCCTGAACCCCGGTGTCATTTGCAAGGCTACAGCTACTAAGGAAGGACGAACGAAAATGTTGACCAGCTGGTTCCTGTAAGCCGAGCACATAAGGAGGGTGATGTGTCGGAGCACAAGTCCATCAACCACTTCTGAGCTTCCAGTGTCCACTTTCAGAACTGCCTGGTCTTGGACGAGGCTGGCAAGGTTGGAGTGCAGGAGGATGCTGGACTGGACAACCTCCTCAGGTAGCTGGTTATCTGCAGGGAGAAAGAACAGCACAGCAAACTTAAGCAGGATAGCAGAGTGCTGCAAACTCAGGCAAGACAGCGACATCCAACCTCCCCACTGAGCCCACTTTCAGAGCTCCTGAAAACCAGTCTTCAACTCCACTATGCTACCCAGAACCTACAGTCCAGCTCCAAGGCCACAAGCTTGTGTAATGTTGGAGTATCTGCATCCTTCTTCTGTCCCTCCACTGAAAGCCTACTTTCTAACATGCCCACATCACCTGCAGGTCACTCAATGCCAACTCCTGTCCCACCACACTTACTAATCCATGGGCCAAGCTCCACTCAGTCCTTGCCTTCTGAAAGAACTCCTTTTCTGGGCTAGAGAGATGGCTCAGCAATTTAAGAGGATAGTGCTTTTCCAGAGGACCTAAGTTGAGTTCCCAGCACCCATGTGAGGCAGCTTACAACCGCCTGTATTGCCAGCTCCAGGGGATCCAACACTTTCTTCTGGCTTCCTCAAGCACTGCACTCATATGTAACATATCCACACACAGACATATACATAATTTCAAGAGGGGGGGGGGAGAAAACTGGTTATTTTTGCAGAGGGCCTAAGTTGGGTTCCCAGCACCCAAATTGGGGGGGGGGGGAGAAACTGGTTATTTTTGCAGAATACCTAAGTTGGGTTCCCAGCACCCAAATGGTGGCTTATAGCTATCCATAACTCCAGTTCCAGGGGACCCGATGCCCTCTTCTGGCCTCTACAGGCATGGTATGCATGGGTGCACTTACATATATGCAGGCAAAACACTCATACATAAAAATAAAAACTGAACCATCAAAGTCGCCACTATGAAATCCACATATAGGATTTTTCCCCAATGAATTCTCAGAAAGTCCTGTGTTGGGTCCACTGCTTGGGCCTGCTACTTTACCATCACTTGATGCCCCTCCCCCTACAAACCAAGGGAGGCCTGGGGCAGGTGGCAACTCCCATCTCTATGAACCAGGTGTACTTGGCTACAGACCTGATGTTCCAGTGATTACACTTCCAACCACAGCCTATGATTTTCGGTTTTTGTTTTTTTTTTAATTTATTTTATTTTTTTAGTGTATGAGTATATTACCTACATTAAGCGCACCTATGTCATACAATGCCCACGGAGGTCAGAAGAGGGCATCGGATTCCCTGGAACTAGAGCTATGGACAGTTGTTAGCTGCCATGTGGGTGCTGGGAATTGAACCCAGGTCCTCTGCAAGAGCAGCCAGCATTCCCAACCGTTGAGCCATCTCTCCAGCCTCACACCCTCAGTCTATGATTTTCAGAGAGTTTGAAAAGAACTTAACTGTTGTCATAGACCACCCCCGCCCCCAAATTCACAGCAAAGTATTCCTAATTCCAATGAGAGGAGTGTGTGTGTGTGCTCCATGGTGCATATAGAGGTCAGAGGACAACTTCTGGGGGTCAGTTCTTCTACCTGTTTGGAGGCAGAATCTCTCTTCTTTTTTTTCTTCTTGGAGACAAGGTCTCCCATTAACTTCAACTGGCCTAGAACTTGCTATATAGACCAGATTGGCCTAGAACTCACAGAGATCTGTGTGCCTCTGCCTCCCCAGTGCTGGGATTAAATGTATGTGCCACCACACCTGGCTTTTTGTATGGGTACAGTGCCCGAGGAGACAAGAAGTCAGATACCCTGAAACTAGAGATACAGGCAGTTGTGTGCAACCATGCAGGTGCTAGGAATAAACTGCCATGCTCTTAACCACCGAACCACCTCTCTACCCCACTAGCCTTACTTCTTTCTTCTTGCTGCTACACTGTACGCTCCAGGTTAGTTGGCCCACAAGCTTCTGAGTGATTCTTGTCTCTGCCTCCCATCTCACTGGTAGGCATGCTGGAATTACAGATGCATACCATGACATCCAGTTGTTTACCTGGGGTCTGAGGATCCCAAATTGTGCCAAGCTTGTGTGGCAAGTGCCTTTAACCACTAAGCTATCTCCCTGGCCTTCCAATGAGGTTTTTACTAAGCTGTTCTTCATTCTTTTGAGATGGGGTCTCATGTAGCCATGACTAGTCTTGAACTCCTGATCCTCCTGCCTCCAAATCCTGACTGCTGAGATGACAGGCAAGTAACACAACACTTGCTCACTGAGTTATTACCCGAGAGCTACAGAAAGCCCTGTAGTACTGCCAGCAGGAAGCTGCAACACAATGAGGTTTACAGAGGGCGGAAGATGCAGTTAAGCATACAGAGCATGCACAGACTCAAGGCTCAATCCCCTGTGCTGAAAACAGCAACCAAAACAAAACAAAACAACCCTAGTGATGGTGAGATCGTTCAGCATGTAAAGACATTTGCCATGCAAGTCTGGCAACATGTATAAAGGTAAAAGAGAAAACCAACCCTACAAAGTTGTCCTCTGACCTCCACCCCTCCCCCCATACACCAATATTTTTGTATTAAAATAAACAAAAAACAAAAATGCTTCCTGTAACAAACAGTGTACTTGTTGGATGTAGTAGCTCAGGGCTATAATTGCAACACAGGAGGATTGCTCCAAGTTCCAGGCCAGCCTGGGCTATAGTGTGAGTTCCAGGCCACCTAAGCTATATAGTGAGACCCTCCCTCAAATGAACAAAACTAGGGCTGGAGAGATGGCTCAGTAGTTAAGAGCACTTGCTGCCCTTGCAGAGGACCCAGATTCAAGTCCCAGCACCCACATGGCAGCTAACGACCATCAGTAACTCAAGTTCTAGGGGATTCAATACCTTCTGGTTCCATAGGAATTCCATAGGCATCCATGGGTACACCTACATAGATGCAGGCAACACATTCGTACAATTAAAATGAAAGCTAATTTTTAAAATAAAGAGAAGAACAAAATCTTAGGGGTTAAGGGAGATGGCTGAGTAGGTCAAGGAGGACCTGTATTAGATTTCCAGCATCCACCTAAAAGTTGGGAATGGCAACACACATCTGTAATCCCAGCACTGGGGAGGCAGAGAGGAGAATCCCTAAGGCTTGCTGGCTGGCCGTCCAGCCAGTCAGATTGCTGAGCTCTGAGTTCAGTGAGAGAGCCTATCTTAAAAATAAAGCAGAGTGCCGGGCGCACATCTTTAATCACAGCACTCAGGAGGCAAAGACAGGCAGATCTCTGTGAGATCAAGACCAGCCTGGTCTACACAGCAAGTTCAAGACCAGCTAGGGCAACAGGGAAGCCCTGTCTCAAGAAGAAAAAAAGAGAGAGAGAAAAGTAGAAAGTGATTAAGGAAGACACCTGTCATCAACCACTGGTCCACATAGGCTAACATGCAACACACACGTGTATACAAACTCACATAGACACAACACAAATCCAAAAGCTTTTAAATTAAAAAGAGGTGGGCATGGAGGGAAAGGATTTGTGCCATCATTCTCCAGTCTGTAGATTTCAAGGAGATAGTACTATAGTCCTGGAAGTCTGGACACAGACTGGAGCCAACAGGCAAGCAGCTATCTGCAAGCAGCCCCACTGATGCACTTTCCAGTGGTGTCGTGCTAGCTCTGAGTCATGCTTTGTGGTGCTCTGCTCAAAGCCCTTCCAGGTATCTCACCTCTAAGAAACAACATCCCCAAATTAGAAAGTGAAAAAGCCAGTCTCTGCACCAAACATATCCCATGCACGTACCAGGCCAAAGGAGGAACCCGCCAAACACCTGGGTCAAGCCCTTCAGCCACAGAGTCTTCTCCACCAAGAGGTCCAAGTCCATGGACAACTCGTTCTGAAGCAGGACAGCAACTATCAGGATCCATGGGCTCAGAACCAGATTTTCAATTTGCAGAAACTGTATCCTATAGGCAACTTCGGTGACAAAGGTGTGCACAGCCTCAGACTGCTTCTGAGGGAAACATCTAAAAGGAAGGGCACAAAACACAGGTTACAGCTCTGCTGCCTGCGCACCCTTTGTTGTAGGCACTCAGGGTGGAGAGGACCACCCATTAGCTGGCTTCTCCCAACAGAATTCTCTTAGACCACGTGCAGGTTCCCTAGCTTTACAGTATGACCTGTCCATGTCTCTAGTAGGCAAGAAACATTATAATTCCCAGTTCTAAGCAAAACCAAACACCTTTTACTTTATAAATGGAACATATCACTGCTGAAAATACAGTTGCATCCCCAGGAGCATGCAACATGCATACAGACCATGGGTCTCTCTGCTGTAGACCATACCTGTCAGGTTCATGTCTACACTCCAGGCGCCACATGGCTGCCTGTTACGCTGCCCCTTCTGCAAAGATGCAGAACAGAGGACCACCCATCCTCACCTGAGAGCTGGCTGCAGAGGGAATAAATATGCAAGGGACCCACAAACAGTCATGTAAGGGGACAATGACAGCCAAGAGGCTGCCCTGCATTGGAATAACTGGCTAAGGCTCTGTGGCAGTGAACTGCTAACATCTGTTCCTGAGGTAATGAGACATTGCTGTCCAGGCATCCCACTGCTGGGAAACAGCTAGAGCTATGGTGCTGCTTGAGGGGACTGGCTGGGCAGGTCTGCTTACTTCCTAAAGTATATTCCTCTTAATTAAAACATGAATGATTGGACCTGAGATGGCTCGGCAGGTAAAGGGGCTTGCCACCGGGTCTAACAACTTGAGTTCAATTTCTAGGACCCACATAATGGAAAGAACCAACTCCCACAGCTGGTCTCTGACTTCCACACATGCACCTACACACATACACACTAAATAAATAAATCTAACAGAAAAGAAAATACAAATGCTTATCTGCGCCCTGCATCCTAAAAGAACCTAGTGTGTTTGAGAACAGGGCACTCTGCACTCTTATCTAGGATCTAAAGCAGTGCTCTGCACAAGTCTCAGTGGCCGCCTGCAGTTGTACCCACAGCCTTGGACACATCCTTTCTTTTTTTGAAACAGTCTTACTGTATATCCCTGGCTGATATGGGCTGTGCCATGTAGACCAGGTTGGCCTTGAACTCAGAAATCCACCTGCCTCTGTCCTTTGGTGCTGGGATTAAAAGTGTGCAGCACTATGCCCAGTGGGCCACTATTAAGTTAAAGCCTGCAGGGAGGATGACCAATCATCTGACTATAGACTGACACACACAGCTTACAGCTTATCTTTTTGTGGTGGTGGTGGTGGTGGTGGTGGTGGTGGTAGTGATGTTGGTGTTGGTGATGGTGGTATGTGTGTTGGCAAATAGTTCTTCAGGTTTTGGTTTTAATTTTTTTGTTTTTTGAGACAGGGTCTCGTGTAGACCAAGCTGGTCTCAAACTTTCTATAGGTGAGGATAACCTTGAATTCCTGATCCTCCTGCCTCCAGCTCCTGAGGGCTGTGATTACTGGCATGCCCCACCATGCTGGCTTCAAACACGAGCTTCTTTTAACTTTCCGCTGCGGAACATGAAATGCATGGCTTCATTGGTAATGTGCTGTGAGATCTTAGGGAAGACAAGGTTTGGTCTCAGAGGCAGTCGACTCAAGAGTCCTGATTCATACTTCTGGATTTTAGTCCTCACTTCTGTGTCAGGTATTAAAACACGGGCCTTGCACCTGGGAACCAAGTTATACGGGCTCCGACTCAGCCGCCCTGCAGCTAGAGAGCGCAGTGACACAGGGTCTCCAAAGTACACGTGGATGCTTCCAAAGTTCTCAGAGAGAATCCGTCTAGCTTTCAACAACCCCTGGTGGCATCACAAGAGGGGGAAAGAAACAGGAGTATATTTGTAAATCAGTGGATGTATAAGCCAGGTACTCTCTACACTCAAAGAAAATAAGTTTGGCTATCCTCACGTACAGCAGTGGATTCTTTTGGTTTAGGAATTCCTAGGAGCTCATAGGCATAAAGAGTTTCTTCCAGTATCTTATCATAACTGATGCTAATTGGGACAAGGTAGGTATCAAAAACTTCTCTTTTAAAAAATGGTTCCATCACAATATTCAGGAGACCTGTAAACACAGGGAGAAATGTTTTACCATGCATACTGAATAGCAAGGCACACAAGGGCTCATAAATAAGATACCAGCCTCCCTCATTCCTTCTACCCTGTATCCATAGCTCCCATTCCCAGGATTGAGGAGGTGATTCACAGTCTCTTTCACCGCCCAACTGGTTCTCAGTCTTGTTATTGACCCACAATTCTAAGAGGGGAAAAGGACCCAAGTCTGCAGACCAAAACCAGCAACATATACAGTCAGCCTTCCACAAGACCCAGCTGTGCTTTCTGTCTCTCATCGGCTCATCTAAAACACAGACATAAGCTGGCATGGCAGCTAACACCTGTCATCTCAGCACTCAGGATGCTGAGGCAGGAGCATGGCTGCAAGTCTGAGGCTGGCTGAACTTACATAGTGAGTTTCAATCAAGACAACCTAGGCTACTAAGTGAGAAAAAAATAAACCGTGTGTGTGTGTGTGTGTGTGTGTGTGTGTGTGTATGTACAGAAGGTTACAAAAGCAATCTGTTTCCATGGGAAGCCCCCATAGGAAATGAGAGGCAATCTTCCCTTGCTGTATATGCTGGTACTCTGATTCCTCTGCCTCTGCCCCATCCCACTCCCCACTGGAAAAACAAGATAACTATAAAGCATATGTCATACATTAAGCCCAGAAATATAACCAGCTACACTTAAGGAAGCAGTTCTATTAACAAAGACAACAGTACCTTGTCAAAGAAGTCAAAGTATCAAGTTCTATTGAGCAGTAGGACCAGAGATTTGTACACTTCTACACATAAAGCACCTACCAAATTTAGGAGTCAAGGTCTTGGCAGTGCGACTCCTTGTCCCTTCAAGGAAAAATTCAATAGGAGCGTAACCACTCTTTAAGAGAAAACAACAAACACATAAAACCCATTGTTTACTCTCAAAATAACAGAGACATCTCTGTGTGTACACAAGTATGGTGCCAAGACTTACATGCTGGGCAAGCACTCCACCAATAAGCCACATTCCCAGCCCTGTAAATGTTTCTTCTGATTCCTTATCCCAAGTGCCCCCTGGTCTTTGAATGAATGCTGGTCACAGTGAGACTTAAACAAGAAAGCTTCTTAGATGAGGGACCACTGAGAGTTGATATGTCCCTTGAGAAGACAGCTAGGGGTCTATTCAGAAGTGAAGAGCAAGATGGCCCTGCAGCTGTGGGTTGGTTCCTAGAGCACCAGCATTACCCGTAGCATCGTCTTCACATATTCAGAAAACACAGCCCAGTAGAGTTTATTGCCGCCAAAGGTGCGCCTTATGAAGAAGGCCCCAGACATCCTGAGTAGCTCGCCAACCATCTTCATTCCCAGGAAGTCTAAAATACAAAGGTGGGGTAACAGAAATGTCTCCAAAGATCTAAACACAGACACTACTGAGAAGTTCATGAATGTGACATATGCCCTGTGATGGCAGAAATTACACTTCTGAGATTAATGCCAAAAAAAATTTCTAAGGGCTGAGGAGATGGTTCGGTGGGTAAAGTTCCTGCCACAAAAGCATGAGGACCTGAGTTTGAGTCCTAGAAGCCACATAATAAGCCAGGCATGGTAACACACACCTGTAACAGTGCAGCGTGGGTAATGGAGTTAGGAGGATCTCTAGAAATCATAGGCCAGTCAGTCAAGCCAAATCAGTGAGTTCCAGGTTCAGTGAGAGACCCTATCTCTAAAAATAAGGTAGAAAATGATAGAAGACATTCGATGTCAACCTCTGGCCTACACACCCAGCCAGCCCCACACAAATGGGGGAAAAATTCCTCTAGTAGAACTGTGTAAGAGAAGGGGCTCAGTTACCTTGTGTCTCCCTCTGCACCTTGCTATTTACAAGCAGGCCAGCATGGGCTGAAGAGATAGCTCCGCAGTTAAGAGCACTGACTTCTCTTGCACAGGACCCAGGTTCAATTCCCAGCACCTATATGGTGTCTAACAACCATCCATACCCCAGTTCCAAGGGATCTGACACCTTCTTCTGACCTCCGTGAGCATTGCACGACATGAGTGCACTTATATACAAGCAGGCAATATGCTCATGCACATAAAATTAAAATAATAAATAAAATATTAAAAAAAAACAAAACCCAGGCCACCAGAGACAGAGGCCAGGTAACATGACATCATCACAAGACCAACATTTTCAGTCTTGCTCTGAAATCAGTGACAGGAGCCCTCATATTCTGGACAGCCAGGTCAGCCTGCTCTGATCTCTCTACCACTGGGTAAAAATAGCAGTGTACATTTAGTACTCTTAGGTCTACTAAGAGGCAAGGTTTCACCAGCAGGTTTCTTTTTTAAAGATTTATTTTTATTTTTATTCATTTGTGTATGTGTGTGTACCTGTGTATGTATGTCATGTGTGTGGTTGTCCTCAGAGCTGGAGTTACAGGCAGTCATGAGCCATGTGACATGAGTGCTGGGAGCTAAACTCTGGTCTTCTGGAAGAGCAGCAAGTACTCTTAACCAGTAAACGACATTCCTCCAACCCGTCCACCAGCAGTTTTACTTTTCAACTTCCCTGACTTTCAAATCACTTCCTCCCGTACCTGTTGAAATGAAAGCGCTTTTTAAGGTGCTTACTCCCCTGGCAGCTTCTACCTTACTGCTTCCCCGTATTTATCAACAGCACTTGAGTCCCTGCTTTCCTAGAGACCTGGAAAGGGCACTAATGCAATCCAAATTTTAGGGATTAATCTTATAATTAATCTTATACACACTTACAAAGCAACATGGTTTTTAGAATAACAAAACTATAAATTACACATGCACACTGTGGATACTATAGTGTCACGTAATGTGAAACATGAAATCAGGCCCTGAACTCTACACTATGTACAAAAATTAACCCATTGGCTCAAACACCTAGGTGGAAGGTTGCAAACCACAAAGCTCTGAGAAGAAGCTTGAGAGAAAGTTTTCATGACACTGAATTTGGTCACAAGTTCTTGGGTATGACACTAAGAGCACAGGGAGCAAATAAACAAATGGATTAACTGGGCTCTATTGAAATGTACAACTTATGCATCAAAGAACACAATCATTGAAGTGGCAAGATAATCACTGAATGGAGACGAAACTGGCCAACTGCGTAACTGAGGGCAGATGTCCAAGACAGAGAAGACTCCCGCAGCTTAGTGGAAAAAAGCCAAACTACCCAAAAAGTGGGTGATGGACTTGTACTGACACATCTCCACGGAACCACGCTACCACACACACCTACCACCTGGAAACCTGATGCAGAAGGATCCCTAGAACTCAGAAATTCAAGGCCAGCCTGGACAACATAGTTGAGATCCCATCTCAAAACTAACCAACCTAACCTCCTCCCCAAACAAAACATCCCACCAATGGACAAAAGGCACATGAAAGGGTGCTCAGTCCTAGCAGACACTACAGAAACACATCAAAACCACTACACACCATGTCATACCCATGAGGACGGAACATGGCAAGGACATGGGTAAATTCCAGCTCTCATGCACTGCTGGTGGGAATGTAGACAGTGCAGACACCATGGAAAACAGTAAATTGGTTCTTAAAAAAAAGTTGAAGTTACCACATAGTCTGGCAATCTATTTGTTGAGGAAACAGGTGTATGTACTCCCATGTTCATAGCACTTGGGGATATAGTGCAGTGGCAGAGGGACTTGCCTAGCATGCCTAAGATCATGGGTTTATTTCCCAGCACCCAAAATAAATAAAAATGTAAAATTCTACATTCATAGCAGTGTCACCTGCAATAACCAAATAACAGAAGCAACCCAAGTGCCCATGGGCAGATGAAAGGAAACTTTAATTTAGTACATTCACACAGTGGATTATTAGCCTTAAAAGAGAAGGGAATTCTGACATGGCCTACCACAGGGATGAACTGTGAGGTCATCACACTAAGTGAAACAAGCCAGTCGCAGAAGGGTAAGTACTGATGATTCCACTCACACCAAATATAAAGAGAGCTGGACTTCAGGGACAGGGAGTAGGATGGCTGCCTCAGGCAGAAGGAAGGCACAGAGTGTTGTCAGTGTTTAACGGGTACTTTTCAGCTTTGAAAGATGAAAGGTTTCTGGGAGTGGACAGTGACAATGGTGGTCCAACACTACTGTACTCAGTGCCACTGGAACCATATGCCTAAACACGGTGAGACTTTGTGTTACATGTATTCTACCAAAACTAAAAACGTATTGTAAAAATCCAGATCTATGCTAGGTATGGTAGCTCATACCTTTAATCCCAGTACTTGGGACACAGAAGCCAGCTTGATCTCCATAGCAAGTTCCAGGTCAGCTAGAAAGTCAGATTTATTTATGATCTAGAATGATGACTATCATTATATCATCAAATTTAAAAAGGCAGGAAACACACCAGGGTGGTACAGCCTCTCTTCAAATCTAAGAACCCCATGTGTAGTCACCTGTCTGTGTCTGCTTAGGCAGGGGCCACCCTACCACAGGAGACAGGGACCCAGGAATTGCTCTCGGCATCTTCAAATACTCCATTACTATCAGCATCATTCTAGAGAATATTGGTCTGTATAATTTCAAATGCAAGCAAAGAATACGTACCCATTCCTGCTGCAATCACTGGCACAGGTAAGTCATAGTTGTACAAAACAAAAGAGAGCATGAGAAAGTCAATGTAGCTCCGGTGACTGGGCAGCAGGACCACGGGGTACTCCTGAATGGCTCGTTGTAGCTTGGGAAAAAGGATATGTTTTGAAGAACTTCAGTTTTCATGTCATTCAAATCACAACTCAAATCAGAAAACAGAAGAAATGTATGGCTGAGCAGGGTGGTTCACACCTGCAAACCCAGCACTTGAGGGTCTGAAGCAGGACTGCTATAAGTTCAAGGCCAGCCCAGCATGCAAGAAGCCCTGAGTTCTACCTCTGGCACCACACAAAACCTGGCATGGTGGCGCACACCTGTGATCCCAGCCCAAGGAGATGGAGGCAGGATTAGAAGGTCAAAGTGATTCTTGGGTAACAGGAAATTTGAGGCTGGCACGGGCTAGAGACCCTGTCAATCAATTAATAAACATAAGGAAGTAGGGATGTTACACAGAATATAACTGGGACAGATGGTGAACTGGGAGTGAGGTCTGTATTACATGTTATATCCGAGCTAACTGACCTTGGTCACTGTACCCTAGGCAAATGCCATTATCTGTATGAAAACCAAACCAACAAAGTGAGAAGAGGATAAAGGAAACGGAGACGGACCCAGGTGTAACACAGCAAACATGGTTTGCATTACTCTGTAACTCTTACTTGCCTGAAACCTGTAGCTCTGACATTAAAGGGAAGGATGAGTTGTGGAAGGAAAACAAACACATCCCCTGGGCCACAGCAGATGCCTGAGGACCTGCCCTCAGCATTCACTCCAGATGAGATGTCCTGGAAATCCTGAGGCCAAGAGTGAGGCCAAGTAACTGCATCCTCACCTTCTGAATGCCTTCTTCATTCACACACACCTTCGAGAAAATCTGCTTAAAAATTTTGCTCAGAGTGAAGGCAAGAAAACGAATGGCTCCCACTCGCAGTTTGTGACTCATTTCCTCCAAGATCTCACTGGCTTCCTCTCGGAGGCTATCGGCAGATGTAAGGGACTCCCTGGAAAGCTGAAAGGAAGGCAGAGCAGGGATGAATTCTGAAAAACAAAAATCAGAACTCCTTTCATTCAAAACAGTGGGACTAGTTCCAAATGGACACACATAATGTGATTCTAAGATGGTGTGGCTCTTCCTGACTGGAACCAACACAACTCAAGCCAATCTATTTCCTGTATTAGGGAATTTCTCTATGGAGCCCAGGTTGGTCTTGAACTCAACTGTTGTCCTGCCTCAGCCTCCTGAGTACCAGGATCGTAGGTGTGCACCACCATACCCACTGAAAAATTATTCTATTTAAACATTTCGAAGACAGGAAATTCAAGCATCTGCTTCCTAGGGCAGCCTTTGAGAGTAATAGGAATACTCACTTCTTGCTGGGGTTGCCAGGAAGTTCACAATCATTACATTTTCTGAGTTAAGCTGTGCTTGTGACCCAGCACCCTAGGCCCAGCAGCACCTCCAGGAGACTGCTACGGACTTGATCACCTACTCCACACAATCACAAACATCCCAGATGAAAACACAAGCTACACAGAGGTAGCCAATTCAGATCATCCCAGAGGCATAGGACTGGTACCACAGTCCCCAGACTCCGAGACTAGTTAAAGAAACCATGGCTCTCACAATGGGGCTTTTCATAGCCATGGCATACTACATCTTTGTACTGTATACAAACGCCTGCTGTGTGCTATGATGGGCAAGGGCCTAGAGATGAGCAAGTCATGTTTCTGACCTTGGGGAGGCCTGATTGACCCGTGAGCTGACATTTTTCCCTTCCCCGAGGGAAACGTGTCCCGTGCGAAATAAATCTGTATCCCGCTGAGAATTCCATCTGTGCCTCGGTGCCTCCTCCATCCATCTGCGCACTCGCTCTCCATCCGAATTTTTACCTATCAGATGGTGCTGTGACTCGGATCTTACTTGAAGGGACCTCGCACGTAAAACTTTCGGACTCGCTTGTCGTTACTGGCCTCTGCGAACACCACTGATTTGGCATTAAGGTACACTTCCACCCTCTATCTCTCTCCCCTCTCTCCCGTTCCTTTCAGTTCTCTCTCCCTCTCTCTCTCTCCCCTTTCCCCTTCACTACTCTCTGCCAGTTTTCTTTTCATCTCACTCCTTTCCAATCAAATTCGGTCACTCCCAGGCCTCACTCAAGGCCACTGGACAGCACTGGTTTTGGCAACCGTTGAATTGCCCCAGCACAGTTACTGTGTCTGTCCATGCCCACCTGGGAGTCAGACCTGCCTCCCCGTCGCACTCAAATCCTTTTTCCCTACCTCAGCTCCCTTCCCTTCCTCGCTCCTGCCATCTTTTGCCTTCCCCTAACATCTCTTCTCTCTCTCTCTCTCTCTCTCTCTCTCTCTCTCTCTCTCACCCCCCTCCTTCCTCTCCCCCCCTCTCTCTCCTCTCCCTCCCTTCACTGGCTACTCTGAGCTTCATCTAGGCCTCTCCATTCTTCTCCACTCCCGGTCCATCTCGACCTCCAGGCCCACTCTCCTACTGGCTGGTCACGCACCACATTGTAGAACCTCTCCTAACTCATTTTTACTTGCTCGAAATCACACTGGTGTGTGGGAGGTTCCGCCCTGCCTTTGACTACAGGACGCTGTGGTCACTGACGGGGACACGCACAACTCGTATCCCCCCCCCCAGTGATTGCAGGACGCTGCCCTGGGGTTTGGGAATTCAACTCGAACCAGCAATACAAAAAAAAGGACGCTTTTGTTTTGTTGCCTGATTCTTCTCGTTCTCACGTGACCTAAGCCAAACCTTTCTCTTCCTGCTTTCTCTCTCTCTCTCTCTCTCTCTCTCTCTCTCTCTCTCTCTCTCCACCTCTGTCCCCTCAGGGCAAAAAGTTTCTCCTTGTTCCCCTACCCACCAGCTGAGGTCTTTAACTCTTCTTTCGCTTTCTGCCTAATCCGTTGCTATGGGTACCAAACACTCAAAACCTCAGGGTCTGACGCCTTTGGCCTGCTTACTTAAATCCTTAAAAAAGCTAGGATTGTCTCA